CCGCTCGCGAGCAACTCGGCGTTCGAATCGGAAAAAACTCGTTTGACACTTGGCTCACGAACCAAGCTTGAGCTAGAACATGCTCAGTTTGATAAGCTCGTAATCTAGCTTGACTGGGTGACTTGTTGAGTTAAGTTCGTGAGCTGGCTTGTTTAGAGCTTGTAGAAGGATTAATTACTCTTCTAAACATGAAAATTATCTTGCTAATACGGATGTGTATGTAAGTTAGATGTTATTTTTAGTTTCTAGTGTTCTTTTTATCATTTAAATTCTTATGTGTACACATTTTTCAGCAAGAATGATTTCAAATCAAGCTAATCTTGAGTCGAGCTTGTACTCAGCTTGACAAGCTGTGTTAATGAGCATTTACCGAGCTCTAGCGATTCGAGCTCGGGATAAATTATTTTTAATCGAGCCGAGCTCGAGCTGGATTATCAAAATTCGAGTTCGAGTCGAGCTCTAGTTGAAAAATTTATAAACGAGTCGAGCTCAAGTTAAGAAAAAAACTCAACTTGTTTGCAGCCCTAGTGATAGGCCCGTGTAGGTGGACGTGTGTGTTGGTGTTACAATAGGGTTTGGCCATACCCTAGACTGTATATAAGGGTATGGTTCTCGGTCATGTAACCTAAGCCGACATAGAAGGTTAATACGATTATCAGCTTGGAGAGCATCAAAGCTCGCCCGTGGATTTCCCTGAGATAATCAGGGATACCACGTAAATCCGTTGTCTCCGTTATTTACGATTAATTTCATTATGTCTAACAGTTTTAGGTACCAAATAGTAAAATATAAAAATACTTACTAAATCATAATTTTCAACCAATTCAATTGAATTCGGATAAAATAGATTGAATTTAAACGAATTGGATATTTAAATGGATGAATTGGATTGGATACAAAATTGCCACATTTAATCTTGAGTGGTAAAAAAAAGAGTTCACGCACGTACCGGTTTAGCATAACAAGAAGTTTATGCATCGGAGCAACCAAAGTTAACAAATTCAAAGATCAAATTGAACAACTTATCGAAACAAAGTTTTGTACCATGTTCGATGGGCCGATTGTGAATTACCTACATTTGATAGCTAGGCGATTAGTTAAGAGGGTAGCTGTAGCGATTCGGGAAGGAAGGAACTGTGGCTTCAATTAGTTCATTTCCCCCAATAGAAAGGAAGAACTTCCGTTCATCTGCTAGGAAATAGACCCAACAACTTGTCGGATTCTCCTCCGATTCTCCAAACGCTATTCCAAGGATGTTTCTTATGTCAGGAGAGCGGATCTGGTGACTAAGGGGGGTCCTTAGTCACTTGACTAAGCCCCTCCTAGCCATTAGATCTGGATACTTCAATCCAATGGTTAAAAAGTGGGAAGAGCTATTTAATTAATGACAGGGGTAGTTTGGGTATTATGGAAAATTACGAAGTATACAAACCAGACTTAGAATCAGTACAAACCATACAAACCATACAAAACATCCATGTAACCCCGCCTACTTTGAGTTGATCAATTTTTAGCGGTTCAAGTGGTTAACTGTTCGAACCGGAGGAATCGGCTAGCCGGCTCAAACCATTTCACCCGCTCCATAAGATTTTAGGGCTTAATTGTCTAAGGGTTGTTTTGTTTTGGTGATAGTTGAATTGATGCATTGTATACTACTATACATGTAATTAAGAAAATTGGGCATTGTAATTTACATTGTTTGGTTTTATGATAGTTATTGTAGCATTTAAATAAGTTATATTAGTTTTTGGAAGAAATATCATGTTTAATCTTTGTTTTAATGTAAAAAATAACACATAAAAAGTTAGGGATATAGTTGGAATAAAAAATCTCAACAATCTCACATAAACTTCCTCAACAATCTCACTTAAAACTTGATATTTAACTATCACTCATATCAGTCTTATACACGTTATTCCTAATCCTACGCATCATACCTAAACTATTTGCACTACTTGGTCAATCCAATGTTTCACATATTTTTGGAAGAAATATCATGTTTAAGGTTTGTTTTAATGTAAAAAATAACACATAAAAAGTTAGGGATATAGTTGGAATAAAAAATCTCAACAATCTCACATAAACTTCCTCAACAATCTCACTTAAAACGTGATATTTAACTATCACTCATTTTTAGTGATAGCTTATGTCACATTAAGCAAACAATACATGTATTATTTGTGTAGAAAATTAAAAAAAAAATGCAATGTAAACAATACAAACATTATAATTATCTCAACCAAACTATCATCATAACCAAACAAGTCCTAAATATGTGAAACATTGGATAGACCAAGTAGTGCAAATAGTTTAGGTATGATGCGTAGGATTAGGAATAACGTGTATAAGACTGATATGATGTAATGTAAATAGTTAAAGTATTGTTAGGTAATCTTCCTCTTATGAGCTCTATTAGATTGCGTTTGAATAGGTGTATTTCAAATGTAAGGTATTTGAAATACATGTCTTTAAAATGCACGCATTTGAAATATATGTTATTTAGATTCGTTGTTTGGATACTCATTTGTATTTTGTTTGCATTTTTTTATTTTAGTTTTGAACTTTTTGCTCAGTTACTACAATTTTTGGTAAATTATTGTTTTGGTACCCAAAATTATTTTTTTTACAATTTCGTACCTACACTTTTAAAATTGTACAAAAAGGTCCAGAAATTTTGCTGGTAAATTATGTTTTGGTACCTTTTATATGTGTTGCCTCACACTATAGTACCTAAACTTTTAATATTTTACAAATAGGTCCAATTTTTTGTTTGGAGCTCTTTCAAATCACTGGTTGTTGAAATGTATTTGAAGTTGACAAGTAATGCACCAGACATGTATTTGGAAATCACCCCATAAATTTGGCACAAATCCAAATACCAAATGTAATTAATATCCAAACACATGATTTGACATTTAAAAATCCAAATGACAAATACCAAATTCAAATCATTCTATCCAAACACACGCTTAATATATTTGACGAGCTGCAATTGGAGTTTTCTATATATTTTCCCTTCTTTATCGTCTATAGTCGCATGATTTCCTCAACCCCTTTTTCCCCTTCTAATCGATCACTTCCGACATGCATGTTAACACTTAATGTGATTATTTATTACCAGCGGCGGATCCAGGATATAGAAGTGCACTGGGTCGGATTCGAACATAAAATTAGATACCGTAAACAAAAAAAATTATAGTTTGCATTACAATGTCAATTTTACACAACGGTCTTTTAATTTAGCAAATTCGTCAATAATTGAGTCTTCATCCATACCAATAACATACTCTCTCTCAAAGAAAATAGTTAAGCAATCAGCAAGAAATTCATCGCACATCTTGTTGCGCAAATCAGTCTTCACATGTTTCATTGCTGAAAAGGATCTCTCTGTAGTAGCCGTTGAAACAGGCAATGTCAACACTAGACGAATCAACCGACAAATCAATCTGTACCGTGCGTCCATACCTGTTACTGTTGTTGTCTACTGTGAAGGAAATAACTAGTGAATTCACTGTCTCCGAACTAATAGCTTATAGCCCACACGGGATCGCCCTGGCAAAGGGACAAAAACAATCAAGAATCCCTCTTTGAGTCAATTTCACAAACGGCTTGCCTGCACAAACTGGAAGAAGAATCACTTACAGGGGCATACGGAAGTAGAAACAGCCACAAAATGTAATTTATGTAAACCCCTTCGACTTCGAGAACCCACAGCGCTACTTGGAGTTGGACGGCTTTGGAAAAGGAGGGGAGCAGCCTTCTCAGCGGCAGGTAGTCAGGTACGGCGCCGGATTTTCTCCTGGGAGTGGAGTGGCAGAGCAATGTGCTCGTCTGTTCGTATTCTTCTTTTCTTTTTTTTTTAGTTTTGTGTCCCAAACGGCCAAACTTGGAGGGAAAGCTAAAGAGCTGGTCCGGCTGTAGATTATTTGGGAATTGGGAGGGTTTGTTGGGGCTAGGCCCAAGTATATTTATGCAACTTTCTACTATGGGTTGGGTCTTGGTGAGGCAGGGGGGCTGGGCCCGGGCCCAGTGTGGCCCTCCTGTATCCGCCGATGTTTATTACAGTACTAGTATTAGATTTAAGTCAGCCATCTTTACATCCAAAGACAATATTGTTGCCATTGGCTCACACTTATAAATAGCGAATTTGAAACAGCGTTGGAGGACCAAAAAAAAGGGACAGGAACAAGAGGATGGAAACAAGCAATATAGTCAAAAGCGAGTTTCAACGTAGAAAGATTGTGCGTAGAAGCGTTTTAGTTATCTAGAAACGTAAAATCGTACGTTTTTAAGTTTTATAGCGCGATTTTTTGGAAACAAGAAGGTTTGATTGGGGAAAGAGGAAAAGAGGATATGGGATGGACGTTTTTTTAGCGATTTGTAAGGATTCTCTTTGGCCCACGGAAAGTATGTTAGGTTTTGTGACCTCAAACTGGACACAACACAATAATAATATGACACTGCATGACACTCTTTTTCTTGCCCCCAGGCCCAATTGCCCAATAAAGGCAATAATATCAAAATTTTCTATTGAGATTTCAAATTTAAATCTAATTAACGCATATTCTGATTGGATTGGGGGCAAATTACCTCACCTCGCAATAATTCACCACCGCCGTCAGTCCTTCCTGGCAATCCCATGAGCCAGCTCACAATCAAACTCGCCACTAGGAATTACCTCGTCTGGGAACTTCCGTGATAGAAACCTGCATTTAGATTTATACAGCTCCGGACTTCGACTCGAAGAATGAACAGTAAAAATAGCACTCTTGGGAGGAACTGCGATGAACTAGTCTAAAACTATCCCAAAATTCCCCTACATTCGGCTCCTTTCCTAATTGACAACCTATGCTCCTCTCCCAACAGAATTTCATGGAGAGACTCAGCAATTAAACAAATAAATATATAGTTTTATATACAGCACGAGAGAGAGAGAGCAAGCATGGAATTGTTTTGTATGAATACAAAGTTACAACAAGAAAGTTAAGAGAGTTACATATCTATTGACCATTGTTGTCAGAATCCAGTGGCTTCCGGCTTACAAGCACACCCTTATTCCAAACCTCGACGCACCTGTAGATGGAGCACGGTGTAAGGACATGAAAGCATGGAGTTCATAGTATTCTGACGTGAATTAACAGTCTTTTAGACAAAATATGGTTGAACCATCATTCAAATCCCCTCAGCAGAAGATGATACACAATATGGATGTTTGTAGCTGCCGTGCATTTTCCAGATGAACTAAGTACACATTCTAGGTCGAATTAGGTGCCTAAGTTTACCGATAAATCTAAACTAGAATGGTAGTGATAATTATCAAGTATTTGCCATGTTAATGATAAGGAAAACATGGCAGATAGGTCTGTGTTCAAAGTAAATAATTGAAGATAAGAGTTTAGAAATTCTATCTAACAACAATTTAGCCATGCAAAGATCAGTTTGGAATTTAAGTATTTACCACGTTAATGAGAAGTTGAGGCTATTATTCACAGACGAAAGGAACTAAGATCGAAGTAAATAAGTACAGCGACTCAAATTCTCACCTTGTTCCATCAACATTTATACAAAGGAAGTCACCATGGCGCCAACCATCTACAAACTGGCCAAAAAAGACATCGCCGAACTTTGAATAGAAGCGGCTTTCGCCATTGGCTTTTCCCTTCCAGAAGTTTGCAAACCAACGATCCCCCGTGTGGAAATAAAACCAACCCTAAATGATTGGAAAATATATAACATTTAGTCTTCCAAGAAGTATCCAAGCTAAACATACTTTCCAAACTAAATGGGCACCTCAAAACAATGTACTAGTACGTTAACGGTTATGACTGGCTAATATCAGCATGGAGCAAAAACCACCCAAAACCAACACAGAGCCTTGTTGAAAGATCCTTAAGAAATGCATCTACAAGTACTTTACTTTCAGAAACGTAGTCAATACACTTACCCTATCCAGGTAACTTCAACTGTTTTGATTGCTTGTGAAGTGTAGACAAAACATAAAACCAACATTCATGATCATCTAAATATATGGATTTTCCCTTTGGTCAAACACCTATATGATCAAACATATATCTACTGATAATTTTATATTTGAATCAACGTTCAACGATACTGTGTTTCTCTACACAGAAAATATGGCATGTCGGCATTTCTCACTAGATCATAGATGTAAGCTAACAAATATCCAGATAAGTAAACAGCTGGAGAAATCAAGATTGAAGACCAGTATTCCAGCCAGAATAGATAAACACAAACCTTGCCATGCATAACATCGTCCCTCCATGAGCCCTGAAATACATCTCCATTACTGAAGTAGAAAGCCCCCAGTCCTGATCTTTTACCATAACGCCACATGCCATCATATATGCTCCCATCATCAAGGAGAAGACGGCCCTAATAGAAGTTCAATTTGGCAATTCGTTTCTAATGTCTTCTATAATATATGAGATGAAAAAAATGAAATGCTTATTTGTGACAGGCCCGTGGTAGTCTACCTTTCCTTCAGGAAGTCCCCCTTGGCATTTCCCCTTATAAACTCCACCTCTGTAATGCATTTCTGTTACAGGACTCCACTTTTTCGGTGAATCGCGCTCAGATTCCTGCGTGAAAAGAGAAACAAGAATATAATTGCATACTAAAAGAAAAAGCCAAACATCAGAAGTGAAAACAAAAGCCAGAATAACAACACTACCTCATTTATTATTATTTTTTACCCTGTTAATTTCAACCCTTGAATCCATTATATGCACAGAAAAAATCATGATGTATTTTCCATTAGTAGTTTATGGATTTAATAGAAACAAATCTATTACCGAAAGACAGAACAAGTTACAACTGTTAAAGTTTTGAAACTCAACTGCCCTTGGCCATCCATGCTATTTTTTAATGATTTTCAAAGAGCATTACTTGGCAAATGAAAGTTCCGCGCATGGCATGTTATAAAGTTATGGAAGGACTAAGATTTTTCGCATGGAATAGAAATTTGAACAGGGAAAAGGATTTGCAATCTGCAATCAAGCCTCTTTTGGGTAAAAAAAAAACTGAAATAATGTAGAATGTGGCATCAAAGTGGAACCTAGATTAACATGAGAATGGGGAAAGATCCGAAGTAACTTGAAGGAGGAATAACTAACATAGTTAGCTAAACAAAAGGACATCATGGATTGCACTAACTAGCACATGCAAATGTGACCAATGTGTATCATGGAATTTGCCAGAATATGTTTGATGATATGTATAGTACCAGCATAGAAGCAGCACGAACAGCAAGACCTCCTTGCTTTTTCGATAGTTCATCATTTCTACCCTTCAACAAGGTAGACGCATTGCTGTAGAAGTCCTTCACAGCTAGAAAACCAGCATCAGTCAAGGCACCCAAAGAAGAGATACTAGAGTTATCAAGTGGTTCTTGGACACCATTCTCTTCTTGGGTCTCTGGTAATTCTCCACCATACGAGTTATCGTGAAAATCTCTTGAATCTTCCTGACGCCTCACACCAACTGGAAGGGGAAAGATACTTAAGTTATCAAGAGGTGGCTTAGCTCTAGCCCTTTGGTTAGCCCACTTCTCTGCTATCTGATGTCCAAGCCCCAAGTTCCCATTCAGCAGCAATTCCCTTTGGAAAGCCATAGTGCCTGCAGAAAAAGAAAACTTAAGAGATTCAATAACCAAAACACTCAACCGAATATATCTATACCAGGACCTTCTGGTTCAAAGAAACCTTTGGGGTTTCTACCTTCATTAATTTGTTCACTAAAATCAGAAGAACCAGTAAATAGATCTTCCTCTCCACTTCCATCCCTGAACAATTGAAATATAGCAAATAGTGAAACCAAAGTCAAAATCCTGGAACAACAAATAAAAAGAAAGCTAGAGTCGGGCTGCAGGGCAAATTGAGTGGAGACCGAGGATTTGGACCTTAAATCAACACCTTCTTCAAGTCCGCTAAATACTGTCTCATTGTCCTCCTCACCCTGCCTGTCAACTACATTGGTCATACCATTCACGGGAATCTCATCTCCGACCGCACTGATATGTAATGAATCTAATGTTCCAGAGGCATTGGCACTGTCAGTCTTGCTTTCATTGTCATCCGATTGCTGGTTTCCCATAAAGAACTTAAAAATGGAAGGGAAATGCTCAACCATTGCCGAGAAGATGTTTTTCTTTGGAGGAGTCTGGTTGTGAGGTCTACTGCTGATAACATAAAAGAATTCAAATCAGAATTTTACCTAAAGAGAGGGGGAAAAGATTCACATCAGAAATGTAAGAAGCGTTTTTTTTTTTTTTTTTTTGGTAATAAAAAAGCTTCTAACGTTGAATACTTATGATCCAAAAGTTTATTTTTCCACACTACTTTTATCCCTGTAAATGCAGTGATCGGCCCTTAATTTTCTCTAAGGTCCGGTCTTCTGGGTTAAAGCAGAATGCAGCCTGGGTAGAATTTCTACAAAGCATAGTTTGCTCTAGCTTGCCCCAATTTATCCACATGTACACAACAAGACACCCCAACACAATGGTAACAGAACCCTCTGAAAGAATAAAGAAACTGCAAACAAAATGAATCATCATGCCTTTCCACAAGGATGCATACCCTGCGACAATAATTGCTGAAACTAGCATGTTTTGCTCCAGATTTGGTTCACGGGAAGAAGCTACAACAACTTTCCCCGTGAATTCCACTGTCTGGCGGAAAATGTGCAAAGCAGCATGCAAACCTTCATCTTCGATGATATCTGAGCTTATGATGACACAGAAGACTGTCCCACTAGAATCCTGTGAACATGGTAAGCAGAATATTACATCCTATTAGCTATTTACCTTAATGACATAGCATTGAAATAAAATAAAAGAATGAGACCAGATACTTGTAAAATAACAAGTCTGGAAACAAAAGAAAAGGGGATGTGGGTGAATTCAATTTAAAGGAGGTTGAAATAAGTTGGATGTCAAAGATGTATGAAGTTTTACGGGAATCACTTTCTTCAAGACAAGAAAACATGGTTTTGGCTAAATTTCAAGACAACAAAAAAAGTCAATATAAGACTTAGATATAAATAAATAAAAAAGAGATACTAAGTTGATAAAAGAGTGGCCATACAAGCATATTCCAGACCCCTCATTATGTAAAAGTTACAACAGCTATGATTCTTTGCCCGAAAGGATAAACTTGCACACGCAAAACAGAACTATAAGAAGAAAAAAATAGATCGCAAACGAGAATGATGGTTACTGCTCAACCCATATTGTTTTAAGTTTACTTTATACCTCTATACCAGTGCCAATGAAAGGGCAGTCATAAAGGGCCTGCAGCAGTGATTCTCTAATGCTCTTACCCACTCCAAATCCAATTTTCGCTTCTTTCTGGTTCTTCAGATTCTGTGAAAGCAGCTTATCAGGGACATCCAAACCAGAAGCATGACAAAGATAATGAAAAAGAAAAGTAAAACGTTCAAAACTATGGTTGAGAAACAGTTATAATTTTACATCTCCAGTATGGATAGACATACGAATAGACATGATGCTGCATCAACGCACTATAAAAATGAAAAACAACTTGTGAATGGTCTGGTGATGTTTGACCAGATATCTCAGCTCCTTATTCATAAGCAATTCCATCAAGCAACCTTGACTTCTCTATTTGATTAACTCATATATGTGGGTTGAGACTGCTTCACAAGCCAAAAGGAAGGAGAAAGGGAAAGAAACTTATTTCTGAGAATGGCCATAAAGACTTACCTTTAAAATGTCTGAATCTACTATCCCTTTCACATTATCATGTGGTCCATCAATTAGTTTTTTAAGTTTCTCCTGAGGCTGTTGCATCAAGGATTAATTACATATTCGTTAGTGGGAAATGCAGGGATGAACTACAGTCTGGACATCTGAAAATCCTTAAAACAGGGATATATTATATGTACTTACAGACACAAGCAAAGAGATGGCCTTTATGGCCAATGAAACGGCACTATTTGCAGTCCTTAAAGCCTCATCTAGAGTCACCAAATCCTTTTTGAGCAGCGTGTCAGTGTCTACATCTGTATAATGCAACCAAAAACACAGACACTTAAGCTCAGAAGCCCATTTCTAGCATGTTAGTTGCACAATGAGACACTTCGTCTACAGCAACTGGAAGCACTTCAGCACCAATTCATATCAACAGTCAACTATTCTCTTATAATAGAGGCCTACTAAATACAGATGAGCCCGTCACATAAGCTTATTCACAGGGTACTGAGAGTCTGATGTACTGAATGAATGATAATTGATGCACAAGTGATTTTTATGACAAGTTGGAAGAACCAAGAATTTCAACGAAGACAAATAGCTAAAGTTTACAATTCTGCCATAAAAAGGTGAGAGATTACATGAAGGTTATCAGAAAAACCCATACAGATAAGTAGAGAAAATTTAAAATCTAATTCATTGTCAAAATGTTTCAACCAATGCAACAGATAGAGGAGAAAGCACTGCAGGGGTGCTTTATGGGAAGAAAAAAGAGACGAAGTGCCCAATTTAAGGCGAAATTTCCATGGCAAAAGACAATCCCTGGGCAGTATTGGTGAGTCCAGCACTACCTAAATAGTGTAACGAGATGAACTAAATTTCAGTATCATCTACCAACTTAAAGGTTTAACAGGCTCAAGACCAAATTATGGTATATATTTATCAACAGTGTCTATCCTAATGCCAAGCCAAGAAGAGGATCACAGGTATGAAATGACAGTATCAGACTATCAGTTTGTAACTAGGAAAAAAAACCCAGAGATTTGATTTGAAGTATAACCTATGTCTATAATTCAATGCCACAAATAAAGAACCACTATCAAAAGATACATTCCATTGGGACCCTCACCTATATAAAAGTCTGTATGCTCTTGAAGCTCTTTAATCAAAGTTTTCACCTGCAGAGTTTGTTTCAAGCATGATGTTCAATCACGTGATCGATGAGAAAGGCCAACGAGATGTAAAGCCTCAAGTCAATGAAGGTGACAGTGGCATAAGTCTTCTGCATATTGATTCTAGTATCAGAGCAAAGCTACATTGTCAAATGGTAAATACATTTGCAATCTAGGTACATTTGTTGTTCCAACAAAGTTTCAGAGATTTTCTGGGAGGTAACTCAACGCTGCAGAGAAAGGATCTAGTTCCTGGTCCTGGAGTCAAGATCACTCTGATTCGTAATTTATTTGGAGAGAACAAAATGGCACAACGCAAAATGACACGCGAAGAAAAATTCCTCTATCCTAGGATTGACAAAGGAAAATGGGAGTTTCATCACGGAGAAGAAAAGCAAAGGAAAAACAAAGTGAAGATAATTATCAGAAAAATGTCACTTTTAGTAATTAGTTAAACCCCATTCCACCTTTTTCGTGTTTAAAAACAAAAACTCTGCAAATTGTTTGTTTGTAATTGGAATGAAAATCTCAACTCAGTAAGTATCTGTGGGCCATGCAGTCTGAATTCAAATGCCTTCCAAATCATGATCACCCAATGTTCAAGAGACCAATAGCTACTCATGAATGCATGTAACAGCACAAGGAGAATACTCGAATAAGACATACATTGTTAAGAATGTTCTACGGGTTTAGAAGTATTAATCTTTGATGTACACTTTTTGAGTCACATTCAAGTCTAAACCATGGTTTTAGACTTTTAGTTACCATTTGAAAAAAAAAAATGTATCTGGCCTTGGAAGTTCCAATTCTTTTCTTCAGTCATGATATTTGATCAAGCATAACATACAAATATGTGCATTGTGGATATCCCTCCCAATATACAACAAACTATGTAGAAGAAGGCAAATTCTAACCAGCGTCTCCAAATACTAATTTCTCCATTTGAGTTTTTGTCAGATCAATAGACTATATAGAAGAAGTTGCACCAAGGAAAACATCGAAAATTATAAACAAGATTCAGCTTTAAAGTAAACAAGCAAGTAATGCCAAGTATACTCCACCTCATCCTGACGCCTTTTTCCTTCAAATCTGAAAGGGTTTACAACAATGGCAACAGCTAATCCATTTCTGGATCTGACTGTTTTAAGAATATTAACAGCTGCATCCTGATCCAAGCCATATCCTGCACTTGCCACCTAGTAAAGTAAGAAGAAAATAGTATTAGAACTGTTTCCATACAGCAAGTATATTCATTTTCTTGCTGACCATACAGCAAGCAACAGTACACAACAATTTTTTTCCAAACAACGTTCATAATAAGCATCAAAGCCAAACTCGTGAGCAGAGAAGGAAGGGTAAGGAATCTACAAACAAGGATTATAGCCTGCGAACATGTTTGCAAAAACTGAGAAGCTTCCAGGCACCTTGGATTAGGATCTGCAGAAATAAACAGACATGTATAGATATCCATTATTCGTTTTGCTTTGTCGCAAGAACACTCAAGATCTTTAGATAGATGAGAAACCTGAAAATGCAGTTTGTTCTCATAAAGTAACCACATTTAAACTTCAATATTACTAGGCTGAATTGCCCCTGAATCTCGGTATGGAATGGATTCTCTACTTCCAGCCACCACAAAGCAATTTCTTTTACATAAAGAGCCTCTACCATCCATTCAGGGAAAGTAGAAAATGAGGAAGTTCATAGAGCTAGTAACAATCAACTCAATTAAGATCATCATCTAGGTCGCGTAATGGGAATGGGTAAGAACTACGAAATTCTCCATTAAACCCCCAGGTCAGCAGTGAAATCCACTACTTAACTGACTTAACCAATGTCTTGCTAAAATATCACATGAAAGTAGACATCATAATCCGAAGCAGCAGCTGAGAAAACTCATAATGCCACACATTCCAGACTATTATAATAAAACCATGCATCTTATTGCAATTTGCAGCACTAAGCAAGAAATGTAGTTTCAACTCCTACATGTAAAGCCATGCCAAATATTGAAACTCAGAAACAGTTGGCCGATGATACAAGCACCAAAAACAAAATGAAGAACAAAGAAACAAACCCCTCTCTAGAAGCCTTTCTTCTAATTGAGTATTTGATGAATCCTTTGCTTGAATGCTCCTGCAAGAAGATATGGTATGAAGACGTTAGTTTAGAGTGGCGATAAGCTGGGCACAAACCAGCCCCCAGCGTGCCCTCAATAAGACCGTGAAACGAAAGTACCAGCAGCGGACAGATTGCGAAAGTTGGAAGGGCGATTCCAAGCAGAAGCGAAGAACAGCGTCCTTTCTACTCCCAATGCCAATAACATCCACCGGCGGGGAATTAACACCATTGTCACCGTCGTCGTAACCAGTAGTGACCACGTGTTCTCTGTAATTCAATGCCCCATCTTTGTCCGACGAACTCGCTCTCAACCGAAGAGAGCGGCGCCACCGCCGCGTAGGGTAGTTACCGAAACGCCATCTCATGCAACCACCATATTTTCTGTAGGAGTATGAGGGGATGGATTGGTGAGAGACGGAGACGATGACAGGAGAAGAGCTCGGGAAGCTTTCCTTCGAACAGAAAAGGCTCCATTTCAGAGGACTCACTACGGAGAATTGCATGAAGGTGAAAGCGGAGATTTGGATTAAGCAGTCGTGAAAGAAAGCGATAATTGAGCTCCCGGACTTCTTTCTTAGTTTTCAGTTAGTTCGATCCCTTTCTGATAAAACGTTAGGACTTAGAGCACAAAAAGCTGGCTCCATCCTATTTCTCAAATTCATTTTTGAACTATTGGAAAGTTCCCAATTTTGATCGCAATTCAACCCTCAATCATAACTCTCACTCACACTCTCTCTAAAGTGGTGGTAATCGGTACGATATCGGTATCCCAATATCAAATATTAAAATCTCAAATATCGAATTACATTCTAAAATCAATCTCAAATCTCAATCCCTAAATATTTCGGTATCCCAATCGGTACTTTGATTGTTTGATTTAGGGCAAAAAGACTAAGTAACGAGTCTTGAGTTTGTCCAGAGCTAGGATATGGATAAGGAGAATGGAGGAGAGGTGACATCTCAAGTTATTGTCATTGGTAATCTTTAATTTGAAGAATTGGAGGTTGAGAGACGATTATACTAGTGTTTTTTTTTTGTTATGAAAATAACAAGATATTAGGTGATAGATGAGAGTTACTTAAAGGTTTAATTGTATGGTTGGTCACTAAGATTACAAAAAACGGTCATATTTGATCACTGGAAATATTTAAATCCAATCTTGGTCACTCAACCCGTACAGTCGCCCTCACCATCGCTAGCTCCTCCTCCAAGTCCAACATCGTCGCCCTCACCGCTGCTAGCTGGTCCGGTTTCCAACGACGACTCCACTGTTGTTAGGCGACCCAAGGACGAGGAAGATGGAGAGGATTGAGACGGCGACACCATTGACGAAGGAAGGGTTGGAAGCAACGACCGTACCTCAACCTCCAACTGCAGTCCGTCGGGATCTAGGTCCAGCAGCAGACTTACCCAGTTGATGTTGGATAAGAAAGGGGATCGCCGTCCGTTACCTCCCTCTTCCCCAAATCGTCGTCGCTGCCGCCGTTGTTCTTGCTTTTCTTGTTACCATCGTCAGAGCTAGGGTTTTATGAATCCTTCTGTAACTGATTGATGTCGTCGTTGTCGCCATCTCGGTTGGCGGCGGCACAAGTGATTGGTCGTGGACTGTGTAGCGGCAGTGAGATTTGGATAGGGGAGTTGGAGGAGGAGGTGGAAGTGGAAGTGGGAGAATTGATGATGGTGGAGGATAAGAGGGGAAGTTGTGGTAGCGACGACATGGAGTTTCTATTGAAGGAAGAAGAATAGGAGAGGGAGGAGAAGAGGGAAATCTTGAGTTAATCTCAGAGTTCCTGGATTTTGCAGATTGGTTAATCTTGTCTTGGGTTTGAATTTGGGTAGGTTCGATCATGGGTTAACGGGTTGGGTCACATTGATTAGGTTGTTGTGATGTGGCAGTTTTTTATGATGTGGCAGGATTGGATTTTATTTTATTTTGTCAAAAATAGGTGATTAGGCGAGTCTGTTAGCCATGTCAACAAATAATTGACGGTGTTAACAGAAACTGACGAAAGGTAACAGAGAGTGACCAAACTTGAACCATTTAACTAATTTGAGTGACCAGGATTGGATTTAAATATTACCAGTGACCAAACATTAACATTTTTTATAATTTCAGTGACCAACCATACAGTTAACCCCTGAATTAATTGAAACTTTAGAAAGATTTAAATAAAATAAATGTTAAGTGTGAAAAGTTGATAGTTTGGTGGATTCATATAGTTATATAATAATTTCACAATATGTAATTTTTTATGGCACCCTCTAGGATAAAATCCGGGCTACGCCACTACTTATGATGGTATTATTCAGTTCCTTCCATATACTTATGATGGTATTCAGTTCCTTCCATCTACTCTATTATGCTAAATGGAAGACCAGGAAACCAAATGGATTCGCATCCCAAGCTACAACTCTTCAATCTCGTGCTATAATGGCTTCCCCTTCGCCCTCTCTAGGGATGAACATTCGGTCGATTCGGTTTCGACCAAACCGAAATTATGAATAACGGGTCCATGAATTTCACCAAATCTCAAACCAAATTTGAACCGAATTATAATTTGGTTCGGTCGGTCTTAACTGAATTATAATTCGTTCGATTCGGAATTTCACACAAAATCGAATTTGTGAGGCTACTTATCCTTTCAAATTATTTTCACCCCTAATATAAACAATAAATATGTAATTATACGCATCATCAATGATAAAAGCAAACATTTCAACATAAAACACTAATATGATTCAAATATTTAAGTCTCGAAACAACTACAAACATAAAAATCCACCATTTGGAGCTTGAAATTATAGTAATTTTTGGTCAAAAATTCGGAATTTCGATTCAGTTAAAATAGCCATGATTTCCGACCGGAAAACCGAATAACATTATTTTAGTTTCGATTCGGTTTTTACCGAACCAGTTGCCCACCCCTAGTCCTCTTGTAGCCTCCAACCACCATCACCCATTCCCAAAGAGCTGTTTTCGTCCACTTCGATTGAGCAACAAAAGCCTATGTGGGTGGTGCTATTGGTTTCGTAGGTTTGTTAGACAGTTAGACCCCTTTCTCATTGAGCTCCTTGCTCTGAAAGACTCCCTCTATGTGTTATTATGTGTCACTAACATGGTCAATGCTGAAACAAAACAATTTAATAAAGAAACTGTACAAGAAAAAATCATAAAGAAACAATTGAACTAAATATTGTTGGGGCAATGGGGCATTTCAAGTAAGAAACACCACTCCAAAATATTGAACTAAATATTGTTGGGGCATTTCAAGTAAGAAATACCCCTCCAAAAATTGACGTATGCCTCTTTTAAACAGCGCGTACACGGTATTCTTTAGTAAAAGGCGAAAGAATAGTTCGCTATGTACTCACTGCAAGGCTGCGTGAGGATACAAAGTACGTTGAAGTCCGCTCTTATAGCGTAGCATGGTAGGGAAGGCGGTGGTCTTGTGTCCGCCTTTCGATGTGGTATTTAATTTTGGGTGGTGGACTCCTCTTCTTTAGCCACACACCATCAGCCTTTGTGCCAGGGTTTCTTTCTTTCTACTACAACTCTTAGTTAGTACCAAGTGTATGGCTTCTGACATTGATATTACAGAGGCTGGAGAGAAAGGGTGCTGCTGTAAAATGGAGATTTTGCGCATCCCCAGCCAGCCAAGTCAGTAATGCTGCAGAACATAACATCTGGGATTCAGATTTTTCTTTCCCCACCTTCAAACGAGAGTATAAAATTCAACTTATTATTTGGCCTCTCCAGCAGCTGCTGGATTGAGTAAAGAGAGAACTATAGCTAAGCAAAGGCAGCTACAGATCATAATAGAAGACCAAGTTTACAATGCAATTGAAATAGAGGCCCAGTTTACTAAAAGCCCAATTTGGACATTATTTATTTATAAAAGCCCATGAGTAAGGAATTGGACTAAGAATTGTAGGGCTTTACCCCGAGGGGAGCCCTTCCAGAAATTCTCGAAGGCCACGGGCAAGCCGCGGCCTAAGAGGGGGTTTGGAAATAGTTTTCAACCAGCAATTGACGCGCCTCGGTTATTACCTCACTAGCTGCGTCATTGCCCCAAGCGCAAAGATACTTTAGTCTGATGGGCTATCGAGTTATAATATACAACAGTTTGCCCACTTTCGCTTCCTGTCCTTGGCGATGTGGTATTTTCTGCTTATGCTGCCGGGGGGATGTTGATGGGTTGCTAACTGTGCTTTCCCGTGATGAGCAGTTAAATCCCTTAAGAAAAATATTGATGGGAAGAACATGAAAAGATGATTGAAACTTGATTATATTTAGCCATTCATGATAATCTGAGATCAATCTTGATTGCCTATAATCTTTCCAGCTCCTGGACAATGGAATTGCGTACCTGTAAAGACAATTAGCTGCTGGCTTTTTTTCTGATCTAAATCCCAAGTATTCACAAAAATCTACTCGGCTCAATTGCATCAAACAACCATGAAGAATTGAAGATGCATGTTCTTCATACAACGGTGGAATTCTAAGGTTGCTCTACTTTTTCGCCACAAAGGTTGTTGAGGTAGTACAGGTTTAAGAAACTGTTGCAGCAATAGTTGGAGTGAAGTCATATGATCTTTTCTGGTGTTCCTTGTGCCTGATAAGAAACTGGAAGAGTATCACAATCTTCCGGTATATGCTCCAATTTTGTTGTTTCTATGATAGAGAAGGGAGCAGATCAGCTTGAGTATGCTCTAGTTGATACACCTGCTCATATTGAAAATCGTTACTTGGTCAGCTTGTGGGGCGATCATTACAGAAGCTTTTGCTTCCGCATTCCCAACTGTGATTGCTTATGTTATGTAGTCGACATTCCTTGAGCAATCAGTTCCAATGCTACGCCTTGAACCACTCGGCCAACTCTACTAAATAACGATCATGTCCCAAAAACCGAGTGAATCGCGAGTAATTCATATCGCAATACGATTTATGCCTGTAGCAAATACTCTACAAAACTTTGTTGCATCTTGTATCGGTATTCCACAAGAATGATGAGTCTCAACACCAATTTGCTTTAGAGGTACGGTATACTTCTGAATGTGATTGATGGTCGATAGATTCCATTGAAGATTTTGATGTATTTTAAGCTGCACTAAGCTCAGATCATTCTTACACCTCAACTATCACTGGAACTCTTGCCTTAGTCCATGATAAATTCGTACATTAAACTGGGTGTTTTCTATATCTAAAGTGACAAAAAAATAACATAATCTATACTGAAAGTTCAGACACACATACACAAGTTTACACTGGAAGGAAAAATTACATGCATAAGTTAGTGACAAATGTCAAAAGCTCTTCCCCAAAACTGCTTTCCCTTCCCCATCCAAGGCTTGAACGCTCCTTAGTTCTCGGAGAATGTAGTTAGCTGAATGGACTGGAAGAATGATAAGCTTTTGCTGTTGAACTGTTTGTTGTTGCTGCAGCCTGTAGACTTTCTAGCTCCGCTGCCAGTTGCACCTGTTTAGCAGCACCCATCTTCCAAATTTGGTAGATTCTATGCCATGGAGTTCCAGTGCTTATGAGACTGTAATGAAGAAGCCAATTGCAGCTCGAATATAACCTGCTATTATCTCCACTTTTTATTGAAGCAACTACTGTAGATGGGGTGGTTGCTTCATGTTCAACCACTGTATTGTTACTGACGCACAATTTGTCATAGTTAGCTGGGACTTTCTGAGGCAGCCATGCAAGGGAAAAACTATTAGAACCACAAACCAGTTCTCAATATCATTGCTCAAAGTCATTGACGTGGGGTGTTCATGCATTTATTCCCAATGAACTGTGAAAAAACTACAATTTCTCACTTATTATGGAGTAGGCGAGATCAAAGCCCTAAAGAAGGATGGAATCCCAGCAAGATTAGTAGCACAATCTGCATGGGGAAATTCTCTGCTTTTGCTTGACTGATGGACCCAAAATTTCATCCACCAGCCCAACAAAAAACTTTCTTTGAAAGGAATGGTCAGATGCAAAACTCAATAATTTCCCATCAACGAAGTAAAAGTCTTGCCTATAAAGTTTCATAAATGCAGGAAGCAGTAGCAGTTAACAGTTTACATCCCTAGTTACATAATGGATGTTAAGCGATATAGGAGAAGGACACCTAGAACTAACTAGAAACAAGGAATATCTGCTTTAGGAGGATTAAACATACAATAATACTTCAGGGGTTATTCACCCTTCAGACAGTTACATTCAATCACCAACTTTCTAGTGGCATTTCACCTATGCAGGGCAGAAGCTTACCTTCTGGGTTTGCTTTCACAAGAGACTTCACCGATGCTTCCTTGAACGCTGTTATTCTTCCCCTTCATCTTCTTGAACACGTTTTCGTAGAGAATCATGCGCAAGGACAGCATCAATACTAGAAAAATAACCACCAAACAACATTATACAACAGCACAAAATAGTGAAATACATATACCTGAAGTATGTGGCCAATAAGAGAATTCCAAGCTCAAATATTCATTCCCAAAAATTACAGTAAGCTTATATATCTCACCTGCAGTTCTGGGGAACCCTCCATGAGATCCGTAGTTCTCTTTTCAGCTTTGGTGGTAAGCTCAAGAAGTTCCTCCAGTCCGCAAGCATCACTTTAAGATCATTCAGCTTGTTATCCAAACCCAAACAACAGTTCACATGCATTGTGCAAACTAAGTTAAAATCTTTGCTCGGCTCACAAAGTCCGCCGAAATAAGCAGTGTCCAAGAATCTCATCTTCAACCCAAGATCCTTTACATACTCATCTTTCTTGATAAAATTCAGCACATCCTGATCATGATGGCCAGGATAAGTGTTGCGTGACGAGTGCCAGAACTTGTAAAACTCTATCGAACGATTATTGGCCTTCACATAACTAAACCCTCCATTGACTATGTTTCCTAAACCAAGACTATCCCCTGAATAGAGATCACAAGCAATCTGAAAGTCCGCATCTGGATAAAACCGTGGAAATGGATCCCTAAACCACATTATATCAGTGTCCTGAAAGTTAACATGGAAAAACCTTCACTACACAATATGGCTTAGTTACAGAGAAATGTAAACAGAAATGAAGGCAGGGGTTGTGAATGATTACCGTGAAGACGAAATTGTAACCCAATTCAAGCACAGTGCCCAAGAAGTCGATCCTTCTCCACATCATCTTCAAGTAGGCTGGAGTCATGAAATAGGCTTCGTGCCGAAAATCAACTCCCTCCGTCACCAGAGCATAGCAATGGCCGTGCAGTTCCTTACACCGGCGATAGGCTTTCTCGTCCAACGCTATGACGACCAAATGGCTCAACAGTCTACGGGTGCGCAATCCAGTGCGGAAGCTCTCAAGGAAGAGCTCGAACACAGAGTTCGGCGCTGCCCAAGCTTCATTCAATGTCGTCAGAATTACTGTCTTGTTGTCTTCCATGGCCGCACCTCTCAGTACAATGTCAAGCTTCTCTTCGTCGCTAGGCTATATACAGATCACACAAAGCCTTAATCCATCCAGCTCAACGAAAAATTCAAGAGTGCAGTAAGTAACTGGCTGAGGAATGGCGAGTAAACCAGACTTACTTCGTAGAAAGATGAGAAATAGTTAGGGAAGCGAACCGCGGGGACGGTGGGGAAGGAGAAGATGCGGAGGGAGAAGGAAGCGACGAAGCTGTAGAAGAGGACGAATGATATGAAGCCGGAGGTGAAGATGAAGAGAGCGCGGCGGACGGACAAAGAGGCGGAGCCGCGGGACGACATTGTTACTGCGGAGGGCGGAGGGGGAGAGAATCGCCGGCGGGAAGTGGTGGACGTGGATATCGGGGAAAGAAAGCTGCAGAGAATGGAACGAAGTAGATGAACCATAAATGCTGTCTCTGCTGTGATTGATTGAAACTACTTGAAAATTTGCGAAAAGCAGGGTTTCTTTCTATGCTAATGCCACCTTTCTTAGTGTTCTTAATCGATCGTTAACTGCTTGATTATGAATTTAATATTACATCAATTTGTCGCCAAAATATAGAGTTAAAACACGATATCTTCACACATGGCTATATCGCCATTTTATCTTTAGTGTTTTGTTCTTTGAGAAAAATAATCTGTTTTGACATTTCCTTTTGTGATTATGGCAGTTACATTACAGGATACTGATTATAAAGACTTAATCAGACATCCATAGTAATCAACCCACATTCTTGATCTACAATTTTGCTACAATCTACAATCGTTCTGTTCCGAAACATACAACATTCCACTGAACAGTGGACACCCACAAAGGCAGGCAGCAACCATGGAAGAACTATTTCCTCATTCTCAGTTCTCACCATCCTCACCAAAGTGTGTCCTTCAGAGCGAGCTCTTGTTTGTCTTCCGAAAGCTCCAACTCTTCAGTCTGTAAGTCCAAGTAACAAGGGGCAAAATGCAGAGTGAGATGATGCAAGTTTCAAATTAGAACACACAATAACCAAGTTGCAGTAAGGGGAACAATGTACCACGAATTTATTCTCACTAGCTGTTGAAATGAGTTGATCTGCTAGATAACAAAATGTATACAACAAAGCTATTACTGCATGTAGAGAATGCCAGGTGTAAGACACCATAGAAAGTTAGAAACAGTGAGCCACTGCTTATTCTTTATTGTTGAGCAAAAGCAGAAGCTAGAGACTGAAACAGGGTGGAAAAAGGAACCTGTGAAGATAAAAGCAGTAACACGAAGCCGACAAAAGTATGGAATCCGGAAGCTTGTGCGCACCATGCCTCCAAAATACATCAGATCCTGCTGAAGCGGCCAGGTTAAGGGGCAGGGTAGCAGAACAGCCTTCCAATAGTTTCACCTAAAGCCACATTATCAGCTAAGAAGATATGAAGCTAAGTGCACCATAATCATGAAAGTAGTCAACTCACGAACCATTTCAGGAATACACATTGAACTCTGGAGATTCAATCATATTCACTTTTGTGACTTGCCAACGAAGTGCCTTGCTTCTTCGAGCACAGTATGCCTTGAATACAAAACTTGCGTAAATGCTTTGCAGCAAGACTTGCAAGTGAGCTACATGACGACAAATACAATGGAGCAAGAATTACACATTCACTCAATTGCAAGTTTGGTTCAGCTTCACAAAGTTACAGTTGGCAGTATGAAACGGACATCAACAAATATCAAGAGCAGAAAATTGAGAGTAAGACTTACAACAAAGTTCTTTGGAAGTTGTTGGTCCAGGAAAAGCACAACGGGTGAGTAAGTCCGTCATCTGACAACCTCACACTCATGTATCAATTGGTTATTTTCGCGAAGGACCTTATCAGTATCCATTCTATTCAAGTGTTTTCAGTGTCTTGATGTGGAGCATAGGACCCATCTCAGACTTCAGGAACAACACAGTCGTAACTACCATCTATCAGACCCTTCTTTGCCAAATCATTTTGCAATTCGATCGCTTCGACAGTAAGGCCTTGCTCATAATACTTCTTTAGTAGGCTATCACAAAGCATCCGGTCTGGAAAAATGCCATTATCAATCATTTCAGTAAGAAATATCCTAGCTTGCTGTAGATTGCCACATCTAGCACAACCTGAAACCAACGCAGTGTAGGCATGAAGATCAAGCTGCAAACCTAGCTCGACCATCTTGTTTCTTGTATCTAATGCTTCTTGCAAGCTACCATTCTTCAGATACCCATCTATTAGAGTAGTGTATGCTGTCTTATCGGGAATCATATGTTTCTCCTGCATTTCATTGAACAAAGTAACAGCTGCTTCTATGAAATTATTTTTACAAAGACCGTCCATCAAGGCAGTGTAGACTGCTACATTAGGTTGCAAACCATAGTCGGGCATCTTAGTAAAGTAATCAATTGCCTCTTGAACCATACCCTTTTTGCACAGCCCATCAATTAGTACACAAAAAGTTACAACTGTAGCCTCAACACCCGAGTCCCACATTTCCCGTACCAGATCGAGTGCCTCCGCGGTCATTCCAGCTTTGAAATAAGCATCAACAAGTGTTGTGTATATGACAGGGTTTGCACCAATACCTTGCTGTTTCATCTCAAACATAACAAGCTTGCATTCTTCAAACTTCCTTTCAGTGCAAAGCCCCCAGATGATGGTCCCAAAAAGCATCAAATCAGGCTGAAATCCTTTCATCTTTATTTGCTTCAAAAATTCAATATAATCTTCCTTGCTCTTACCTTTAATATATCCATGAGCAAGAGCAGTGTAAGTTTTCAGGTTAGGAGCTACTGCAGCTTTCAGCATCCCAGTGATAAGTTCTTCTGCTTCTGTAATCCTCCCTCCATTACAAAGGCCGTCTAATAAAGCTGTGTATGTAGCAATGTTCAATTCAGAACTTATTGTCCAGAGCATCTCGTTCGCCAGCTTCAATGCTTCACTCAAATTTCCAGCTTTACAATTTGCATCAATAAGAGAAGTATAAGTGTATTCATTGGGAGAATAACCAAGGCGTTTCATGTCTATAAAAAATTTGATGGCCTGTTGCATCATTCCTTCCTTGCACAATGCATCGACCAGTGTGCTGTAAGTTATGACACTAGGTCTGACTCCATTATGCTTCATCTCAGAGAAAAACTGAAAAGCTCTAGCAATCCTATCGAATTTACAAAAACAATTAATCAATGCATTGTAGGTTACTGCATCAGGTTCACAACCTGCTTGCTTCATTTCCTCAAATAACCCCACTGAATTCTCCAAAAAGCCTAATTTCCCATATCCATCAATGAGCGAATTGTAAGTTACAACATCTGGCATCACACCCTTGTGCTTCATTTCCTCAAACAAGCTTTTAGCAGCTTCAATATCCCCTTCTTTGCACACATGGTCTATCATGATGTTGTAAGTAAACACAGAGGGAGAAATTCCAGCACCAACCATATTCCTAAAGAAGTTCCTAATAGCACCATCCTCTTTCTTCCCTCCCTTGGCTAGCCTATGCAGGAGGGCATTGCATGATCGTGCTTTAGGCAACACTCTACAACTTCTCATCCTCGAAAAGCAATGATCAGCTTTCTCAAGCATCCCTAGTTCTATATACACACTAAAAAGCGCATCAAAAACTCCATAACCCGAGACGCAAACATTCCTAGTCGACCACAAAACTTCAAACACATCGAAACCTGGCAAACTCCTTCCTGCTAAGACCAACTCCTTAAGAATGTCATTGGCATCGAAATACATTCTGCCGTAGAACAAAATGTGAGCCAATAAGCAGTAGGATTCCGTGGTGTGGCGAAACCCAATGAGGGTTTTCGCCCAATTGAAGAATTTCAATGCCAATCGCGGGTCATGCCGTAACACCAGCAGTACCCTGGAAACCCGTAAAGGAGCCAAAGAGGAAGAAGAAGAACCAACGAGCGCTACGATTCTGGGATCGTCCCAACAGCCCTGCTGAACAATTTTACTTACTGAATCCTTGTCCAACTCTCCGATGACAACATCAGAGTTTGTGGAGACTGTCCTAGTAGAAAACGGCAACCTAAGGATACAGAGAAACCCAGCGAACCAAATACACGGGCAGGAGATTAAAGACACATTGGGCGAATGAGGGACTACAAAACGAATATGATTGTTGTAGTTGTTGAGAAGGAGAGGGTGAGAGGTGAACCAGAGACGGTGGCTGCTGCGTAGGCGGACGTGGAATAGACTGCGGAGTGAAAATAGCATCGCTGAGAGGAGAAGAGTGAGAAGCGCCCGGAAGATGAGGAGCTTCATTTGCAGGTATCTAGAGAGCGAGGGGAAGCTTCATCTGGTGTTTCTGTAGAAACTAACGAGCCGAAGGGGCTGTGAAGAATAGCAGTAGTAGGGTTTAAGCAGGCAGGCATGGTGTGACGATGATGCGCTGGCTCGTTCCCGGGCCGGGATGGAGGGTTTTGTGAGAGCTCCGAAACTGCTTTCGGGCGTTCCGTTTGAAACTCGCAAGGAGTAAGCTGAAACTGTGAGGGGACAGTAATTGGGCCTATAGATTCCATAGTTGAGAAAAATGGGCTTAAGACTCTCAAACACAGAAAAGGCTTTTATTTCGGGGTTAAATCTGTCATAGTAACAAGTTTGGTGACTAACTCTTTTTTCTGCCAAAATTAGAAGTTTGGTGACTAAAATTATTAATTTGTTTCATATTTGACACATAAAATTTTGAATTCTATTAGTGGTGGGCAATGGGTGCGTTTTCGTTCAAATTGACCCACCCGCTTACTAGCGAGTTGGAATAATTGTGACTCGCAATCCACCCACATTCTTCTACAGATCGGGTTGGGTGGGTGGCGGATGAGTGTGGTTGGGTCGTGGGTTAACCCGCAAAAACAATTCTCCAACTAATCATTAAGAAAGTTGGCTAACATTTATAATAAGTTCATAGTAAATTAGTAAGACTGTATCAATTTAAACACTTCTCACTTTGTCTCAAGTGAATCCATATAGTAGTTGCATAAAAAAATTTACTATTCTATCAACCAATTGTGTAGAGAAAACTTACACATTTTGTGAATTTGATAAAGTTTACATCCCAATATGTAATGGATATTAATAATAAATTACATTCTAATATTCAATACCTAATGGATATTACACAACACAATAACCAATAATAGTAGTCAAAACAACACTTTATCATGTGAAAATAGGATGCAGGTCATTCGGGTGAGTCGCAATCCATCCACCACCCACCCACATAAGTGCGGGTGAGAGATTTATCAATCCGCAATCCACTCACATCAATCACCTACCGCTCGTGGGTCGGGTTATTTGCGGGTAAATTAATATCAATCCGCAGATTAACCACCCATGTGCCCACCTATACGTGGTATATCTCAAATTTGATTACTGACCTTACCTTCAAGCAAATTCTATTAACAACGTTAGTTTTTTATTAACGCGACTAATAATGCAAATTTTATTAACAACTAATTTTTATTGACGTGACTAATAGAATTGTCGAGTCACCCAAAATTTAACAGAACACCCTTCAAGATCGTCAAAATTCCAAACCTTGCAGTAATGATCCACATAAATTAACTTCTTAGCAACTTAGAACTCAAGTTTCAAACAACCATTCAGAACTTCTTAGCAACTTAGCAACAGACTAATTGAGTACAGAGCATAAAAAGCCGAAGACAAGAGAACCATCGACCTAATATCTAATCCCGAACGGACTTCAACAAAAGATAAAAGTCCCTAAGCCACAACCCTTGCTGTCTGAGGCTTCATCAAACTAACCAATACACTAGACAATAAATGATACAACAGCCTGGACCGCTAGAATAATTTACATCGGAGGAAATCCCTATTCCACGTTCAGAGCCATTGGCTCATGTTCCCAGCCTCTTTGTGCCACATTCAGAGCAGAACTTTGACGTTTCTCTCAAATAAGGAGCACCACATTCATCGCAGAACTTCGCAGGGCTACTAGGCTGCAAAAGTTTACAAAATCAAGTCAGCTAGCCATCCCTACAAGATAGAACTTAATCCTAGGCCTCCTTTGTTATAGGAACGACACAAGCAAACACCATCTTAACCAAGACACTAAAAGAACCAGCTGGATATGTGTTGGTAGGGCAAGCTACTAGATCCCCTTGTCATAAACTTCCTAGGATTTTCGCTTCGAACTTTCAGACAAAACATACTGGCAGGGATGAGTTTATGCAATGTGAAAGTGCAACAGGGTGATCTGCAAGACCTATAGCTGATTGGCATACAACATTTGATTTTCAAAGAATCAAGGTTCCTTTCTAGTGTCTGGACTCTGGACCGTCCTCCTAGTTCCTACAAAGTCAATATATTCAATCACAATAGCTCTCACCATTAAATGCAAACGCCCTGTGAGGTGGCTTCCTGCAAGAGGTTGTAAATAAGACATGTGTTGAGAAATGGTAGGCGATTGGTGGGCATGTGGCATCTCTGGCATTTGAGCAGGAGGTCCACATTGATGACTTTGGGAGAAGTGTGGAGTATGTTGGCTCTGATGTGCTTGAAGAACTGGATGAAAATGTGGCTGGTTTGGCAACGGTTGTGCATTATGCTTCGGAGGAGTCTGCTCGTGGCCATGTGGCTGCAAAAGATAGTTTCAGGAAACAACCAAAGAAAGAAATAAGCATGACCCCCAGGCCCCCACTATAGGTTAACTAACCAAATGACAACCATTTGAATCAATCATTATTTGCAAACATCAACAATGATCACACATATATTACAATTTCACTAGATCCCCATCCCTAATTCAATTCTCAATTTATTTATGTAAGTTATACCCACCCAACTTTGTAAAACATGCCATAAGTTTTAAGCAATTGAGCAAGTTCCGTTCAAACAAAATAAAAACTAAATAGAAGCGGTGTTCTGGTGGTTTATGTATTTTAACAATAAGTTAATGCTAATTAAGTACAGTACTCAGTAAGAATATCACGGAAGTGCAGCAGTAAAAAGAATAATAAAAATCTCGATTTGTCAAATATAAAAGACATTTAATCAGGCACTTACTGAGCGGAATCCTTGATCAGCAGACATTGCAGATGAACTATCTGTCCCATGGATAGCCTGCGGAAGTATGGAGTCACAATCAAGTTTAATTATAGGTATCCGACAACTAAATAAAGCCTGTAATCAGAGAACATACATATAACAACAGATATTACTTATTAGCATCTCATTTTGGTTTAACTATGCCACAAAAGATGATCAGCTTAACAAGAAATATATGAGGTTACTCAAAAAAACTCCTGGAACAGATAACTAGGCCTTTGTTAATACTTGAAAACTACAGAGTTATTCTATTTCTAACTAACAATTCCTACTTGAACATGCTTGAAACCCAAATTCACTTTCCCTTTGTCAAGGACTCGTCACCGGTTCTCATCAATCTAAACTGGCAACCCTGAAACTGAAACCACAAGGAAACTAAAACTTACCTGTAATCCAGGAACATTAGATAAAATACGCCTGTACTTGTGCCTTGGAGAGTAATATTTATAGTCTTGAGCAGATACAGAAACTTCACTCCGACCAGTAAGTCTCTTGAACCTTTCAAAATGAACAACTAGTTCAGGCATATAACAAATAATTCGAAGAAAACTGCAGTACAACAATGTCATAAGTTCGCTATTAGACAATAAAGGTACAATTTATTGTAGTTTATGGCATCATCTTACGTATTACAACCCACAGATTTGCAAAGAATGACCCAGTAACTAAACAGTATAAACATTACCAACAGAAAAGTGTACATAAACAATTAGGAAACAGAAATAGTGAGTCAGAGATGAAATCAGCATAAACAAAAGTACTTGAACCATTTTCAATACAGGTATGCATGTTAACCAAACTTCAAATGAAAAGACTAGCAACAAGAAAGGGTATACCGTATAAGAGCTGGTCAATTGAAAATTTGAAAAAAGATTGCAAGTCTCAAAAGAGCAATGCTGTGTGTTTCACTAGTCTATTCCAATAATAAAATAAATAAATAAATAAACAAGTTGTGCCAGGAAGCTAAATGGTTCCAAAAAGGATGCAGATTATTGATCATGATATTCTTATTTCCAAACAAGGAAACAATAAAACTGTCCATTGCATACTATTGTCCGCTTCAGCTGCATTTCTTTCCATGATAATCTTGCGTGCTTCCCTTGTTCTATCCAACAATAGTTCAAACGAAACAAAATTTCAGAATAAATTGTCCTCGCTCACCACTCTGCATCTTCTCTAGGCAGATTCGTCGGCTTCTCAATGATATCCAAACCATTGACCACGACAAAACGCACTCTTTTCTCTTCTTGGATCACCAACTCAGGAAATCTCGTCCTTGTCTCCACAGAAGTTGCCAGTTCTCGTCTTTTAAACATACAAGAACCTAAACAAAACAGGGAAGAAAAACACAAAGTAGTTGAAAGACATCCATGTAATACACCAACGCATATAAAAATCTTTTATCTAACTCAACAAATCACACAAGATCAAACAGTTTTCATATTTGAAACACAAATGAGTGTTGCGCAATTCTCATGTAGACAACTAGTTCAGTTATGCAATCCACTGGTGACCACAAAAGCAGAAACATCCGTACCTTTCTTGGGGAACTTTTTGGCCAATTTTCTGTACAAACCACCGGCTGCTTCAAGAGCTATCCCAATGGTCTTATCACGAATAGAATTCAAGGAAGCCAGCCTAATATTTACATCATTCACTAGCGTCTCATACAAATTGGCGACGTACATCAAGGGCAAAGCAAACCTCGGATCCCCTTCATATCTAACATCTCCAGACTTCCTTTTGCTCAAACTATCTTGTCCAGGATGACCAGAATACTCACTACTGCCATTATCCGTCACCTCAATCAAGTGATCGCTAATGAAGTAATCCACAACAATTTGCAAAAGTCTAGCCCTTGCAGATTCAATAGGTGTAACATCTGCATAGAGAAGCCACCCCGACAAAAATGCGTTCAGTGAACCCAAATACATACAGTGAATCAACATCGTCCGCCTACTAAAAATGCATACCTTCGATGTTTATCAAATTGTATGGAACCCTTGAAGACCCACTATTCTCGACGCTAGAGCGGTCCTCTTCAACCCCGACACCATGAAGTGGCAAAGAGCTTCTGTAAGACTCATGGATGCAGTCCTAACATAACAGCGGAAACAGAGAAGCTCCGAGTTGGCAAAGGAGAGTGACAGTAAAACCAAGCTACCAACAACAAGAACAGAGGATAGAAACAAAGGGAGAGGAGGACGTACAACAGCAGGGTCAGGAGAGTCGTGGTCGCCGTTGAGGCCAGTATCAGAGGAAGAAGGGTGGGGATCGGCTTCGGTTATGCCTTCAATACTAGCCGGCGGTCGAGAATCGACGGTATTCAGGTCGTGAAGAGAGCTGCCGATGAATGAATTGGCAGTAGGAGGCGATCTCAAGTCATAGTGCTGAACTGGAACCCTACTCCCCATTTCTTCCGACATCAATGCTATTCAGAAATCGGGAAACAGATCAACCATGGCGCATCCCCTCGCCTTCTTCCGGTAAACCTATATGCAGAAAGAGGAGGAAAAGAAGGGAGACGCGGAGGGATTAGAGTTACTTCGCCGGTGGCCATGTTGGAGTTGGACTGAGGAAATGAAGGCGATGAGAGTACGAGCTACGAGGACTGGAGGGAGTTTGGATTTGAATCGAATCGATTGGAGAAATGGAAAGGCGGGTGGAGAGGAGAGGAGGGAGAGTGGGAGGTCCAGACCTGAGATTTGTGAAGCCGTAGCTGAGCTTTTCGCGGGAGCAGAGAACAACTGTACCAATCTCCGACCCTCGCTCCGATCTAAACAACATGCCAACTTCCCAACCCGAACCTTCCCCTGCGCTGCGACTGCACTGCAGCAACTCAAAAGCAAGTGGCAAGGGAAGAGATCGTTTTGATTCTTGGGCTGGGCTGAATCTTTTAGTTCATATCAATCTACAGAAGGCCCGGTTCGGGGAAGTAAGAAATGAAACATGCAAAATGAAGGATGAATTGGTTTTGGATTTGGTGGTATGTAGCGGCGGATCCAAGATATAGTAGAGTATTGGGTTGTATTTCATTAGAAAACTGATACTGGAAAAAATTATAATTTATTTTTACAATATCAATTGTACACTGTCTTTTTTTTTAATATAGTGAATTCATCAATAAAGCAGTCCACATCTATTGCTACTCTTTTTCAAATAAAATAGTTAACCAATCGGTGAGAAATTCAATCCTCATTTTGTTGTGCAAATCATTTTTCACCTGTTCCATTGTTGAAAAGGTTCTCTCCATAGTAGCTGTTGAAACGGACAATGTGAACACTAGACAAATCAATCGACTAATCAATTGGTATTGTGTATCCATCCCTATTTTCACCACATGCTCTAGTGATTTTTCAAGTAAACAAATCTCATATTTTTTTTAGCATTTTATGTTTTAGACTTTTAGAATTTTAGGTTTCATTGTTTGTTTTTCTTTAGACGATACTCATTTGAGCTAGAATTTCCAAACTAAATTTAGAATTATGATTTGAATATGTTCATCTTACCATTTTCCTAATCACACACAAGTGTATTATAAATAACACCGGGCCGAATGACTAAAATCGATAAACGCATAAGGACTATACTAGTTCTGAATCCAGAGGAGGGGTGGGCAATGGCCTGGGGTGGCCACCCCCTGGATCCACCACTGGTTGTATGGTAGTAGTAGCATCTGAATTTGAATCCATATTGGGTATTTTGTAGGGGTGGACATTAGGGCTGGGAATCTAGACTAAATCATATGGGAAATCGTAGTCTAGATCGTATCGTATGGTTTGGTTTGCAGTCTCTTCCTATAGTGCGTGGTCTGAAGTGGTCTGGATCGCGGTCTACCGCAGTAAACTGTAACAGACTGTGACACACTACCTGCTAACTCAATAAAAATAACAATAAATTAAACCTACATTTTTGTATTTCAAGAACAAAGTTAGTTGATTCTTCATCTAGTTGTTAGCCAACAGATTGCCCAATGATCGCTTATACGTTATCTCCTTATCAAAGAACCACACAAAAACCAGAAAGATTCATAAATAATATTCACCGACAATGTATAGACTATGGAGTCGATAAAACATAAACACTAGAAAAAATTCATTCACATTAATGAGATAAATAAAATTATTGAGAGATAAACGACCATCTTAATGCTTCAAATGACCTCTGCGTCATCACAAAAGTGATCGACTGCGAGAACCTTCGGATCACCAGAGAGAGGGAGAGAAGAAGTAGCACATAGAGGAAGAGTGAAACAATGCTATTTGGTGTGTGTGTTTTTTTAATGGATACTGGATAGAGTCGTAGAATAGAGAGAGTTTGATTTTTTTTTTTTGTGTAATGAGTTTGAAAATTGAAAATACCCACTGCTCTCCTCAAATATTTCTTCTCATTTTAATTATGATCACTAAATGTTTGTTTCACTAGCATATTGGTCACTGAAAATTTTATTTTTATAGATACCGTCGAAGGGTTAGAGGGAGGAATACGAGATAATTTTTTAACATGGTATGCCTGGTCCACACCGTATCGGACCGCACCGCATAAACGTGGTCTGGACCGCACTGTTTCTCACCCCTAGTGGGCATCTGCTTTGCTAATCCCGAGTTGAACCATTCCGAACCGACCCGACTGAGGTATAATTAAAAGAAAGAAGAACAAGTATAATTAATATTAGTGATTGAGATTTGATGATTTTAGTTTATGTTCAAGTTTTTTTTTTCTTGAAGTTTTTTGTTTACAATAGTAAATTAGAGGATCAGTTGTTTCCCCGAGGAAAATATTGTGTTTGAATTCAATGATTTGCACCTTTGACTTCTTGAACAACGATTAACACAATTCACTCCACTCCGAACAATGTTCGAACGAGGGTGTTTGATATTTTTTTATGGCTGAGAAAACTAAATTAAGTTAGTCCTACACCTATGGAGGTTTAGTGAGAGCTCCAGAAACTAAAAGCTATGCCTATGACTACATTGTAGAGAAAGGATAACGTTTGACATAATGTGTCAAATGTTTGGTTGTGAAACCCTTTTACGTTCTTAGTTTCTCCTATTTATAGACACCAGGTATAACTGCTTTGGTAACTGCTAGCTGGCTTGTTGCTCCAACCACCTTAGGAACCCCTTCTTGTCACCTTGGAGACCAATGGGTAACCGTCGCCTTGGTGTTGACTCCTATCACCTTGGGCCTTTTTCCCTGCCTTGTTGATTGGTTGGTACTTGATGGCCTCAAAGCCAGGTAGTGTTGGTGTTGAGTCTTGTTGCCTTGTCTTGACTGGATGAGGTTGGAGTTCTTTACCTTGCTCCATGACGAAGTCTTGACCTCTCCGGCTTGATACCCCTGTGCTATCAAGCAGTCATGTCGGTCTATGCTACCAAGCCAGCCCTGACGACTTGGTCTTCATACTTAGTTTTTGGAATCTCATCAAGTTGGTACCTTGCCACCCTGTCGGTTTGGTACCCCGCTAGAGGCCACCAAGTTCGTATTAGGACTCAGTCTCCATATGGCCCCCTTAGGGCTCTACACCAAGTCCGCATCAAGTTGGCAACCTCTTAGCTCGGCATCCTGGCTGACCTGCCCCACCCCCTAAGATTTCATACTTATTCTTGAGGCTACGAGGATGGTCCATGGCGCCCTAGTACCCAGCCAAGTGGCCACCTTGTAACCTCCTCATCGGGTTGGCACCCTGCCATTTTGATCTCTATACTTAGCTTTTGGAAGGTTTGATAACTTAATAAAAAGCCTATCTTGTTGGCTGGGTACCTTGTTGGCTGGCTACCAAGCCTGTCTTGTCGGCTTGGTACCTTCTTAATTGCCTACCAAGTCCGCCTTGCTGACTTGGTATCCATACTTAGTTTTTGTACGTCTCTCTAGTTGGTATCCAACTTAGTACCTTGTTGCCTGGCTACCAAGCATGTTTTGTTTCCAGACTTCACCAAATTTCATATGTTTGTACCAAGTCTGCCTTGTTGGCTCCATACTTAACCAATTTTCATGTCGTGGTACCAGGCATGCCTTGCCACCTTGGTACCCTATCGCCTTGCTACCAAGCTTGTCTTGTCAACTTGGTACCCTATTGACTCTATACTTAGCCAATTTTCATATTCCGGTACCATACTTTTCTTGCAAGCTTGGTACCCTCTTGATGTCTTGGAGGCGGTGGATGCATCGTCCGGGCTATAGGAGGCGGCCAACCATTAGCCCAGGGATAGCGGCTCGACCATTTGGTCCCAAAAAACCAACCTAATAAGGTCCAACTAGCTCATTGAATATTTATTTTAATAAAACAATGTGGTACAAGTTAATTTTTATCGATAAACACCAGTAAAATTAAAGGGATTCATCTAGTTCCATGTGAAACTGGTAAAAATCATTCGGTTGATCTGTAATCATCCAATCAAAAAGAGGAACCACGATTGTATCCAGTTTGATGATTTTACTGGTCTAACCAGGATTTCGGTTCAGTTTTTATTTTCTAAAATTAGAATTGTAAAACAAAATAGTGGTTTATTTGGAGACACTAGAAAAGAATAGACAATTCTAGAACGGAACGGAACGGAACGGACGGAAATCGAACCCGTTCCGTGTCAACTAGGCCACCAGGGCGAAAGAAACGCCAATAACACACATCATTCCTTACCCTTTTCGTGTTCGCCTTTTTCTTTTATCGGTTTCTCCACATCTAGGTCGGCCAATTTCATCTTCTATAAATCGAGCCCAATTCTCTCGTTTCTCCATCACCGATCCACAATTCATTCCTCAAACCTCTCCATAATCAAATCTCCGATTCAGAGCTTTCTTCCCAGATTCTCAAGGTAACACCCGAATCCGTTCCCCTATCGTCTCTGTTCTTGATCTTCCAGTTCTAGTTTTGTTCGTATTGAAAAAAACGTTGGAATTTAGTAATTAGGGTTCCTTCTTTTCCGTCGATTAGATTGTTGTGACGATCTAATGCCGTTTAGAGCCTGAAATCTGGTATTGAGTTAGGGTTTTATTTGGATCCTGGAAATTTCTATCCGGTTATTGAATTAGGTTTTCTCGTCGTTCTGATATTTACAGATGCAAATATTCGTTAAGACTCTCACCGGCAAGACTATCACTCTCGAGGTCGAGAGCAGCGACACCATCGACAACGTCAAGGCTAAGATCCAAGATAAGGAGGGTATTCCCCCGGATCAGCAGAGGTTGATTTTCGCCGGCAAGCAGCTGGAAGACGGCAGGACCTTGGCCGACTACAACATCCAGAAGGAGTCGACCCTTCACCTGGTTCTCCGTCTTCGTGGCGGCATGCAGATCTTTGTCAAGACCTTGACAGGAAAGACCATAACTTTGGAAGTTGAGAGCTCCGATACCATTGATAACGTGAAGGCGAAGATCCAGGACAAAGAGGGGATCCCACCAGATCAGCAGAGGTTGATCTTTGCTGGCAAGCAGTTGGAGGACGGCAGGACTTTGGCCGATTACAATATCCAAAAGGAGTCCACCCTCCATCTGGTTCTCCGTCTAAGAGGTGGCATGCAGATCTTTGTGAAGACGTTGACTGGCAAAACCATTACTCTTGAAGTCGAGAGCAGTGACACAATCGACAATGTCAAGGCGAAGATCCAGGATAAGGAAGGGATCCCTCCAGATCAGCAGAGGCTCATATTTGCTGGCAAGCAGCTTGAGGATGGAAGGACTTTGGCCGACTACAACATCCAGAAAGAGTCCACCCTGCATCTTGTGCTCCGTTTGAGAGGTGGTATGCAGATCTTCGTTAAGACATTGACTGGGAAGACCATTACACTCGAGGTTGAGAGCTCCGACACCATTGACAATGTCAAGGCAAAGATCCAAGACAAGGAAGGGATTCCCCCAGATCAGCAGAGGCTTATCTTTGCCGGGAAACAGCTTGAAGATGGAAGGACTTTGGCTGATTACAACATACAGAAGGAGAGTACCCTTCATTTGGTTCTGCGTCTTAGGGGAGGTATGCAGATTTTTGTCAAGACTCTGACCGGAAAGACCATCACCCTCGAGGTGGAGAGCAGTGATACCATCGACAATGTGAAGGCCAAGATCCAGGATAAGGAGGGAATTCCACCCGATCAGCAGAGGCTTATCTTTGCTGGAAAGCAGCTTGAGGATGGAAGAACCCTGGCGGACTACAATATTCAGAAGGAGTCTACTCTTCACTTGGTCCTGCGTCTCCGTGGTGGCTTCTAAACTGTGTTATGTCTGTTAGTGCCTTTGTTGCTATGGCTGCAGCCATGATGTGTTGAAGGCTGTTGTTGGTGTACGGTGAACAATTCAGGATGTTTCAAGTTTCTGGTTACGTACGGGGTAGCCTAATGGCTCCCCAGTTCAATTTCTTGTGTGTTTTTTTTTTAATTTTTCTTAACATTACTGTCATGGCCTTGGTGGCCATGTGAACAATCATGTGGGTCTGTTGGTTCCGTAATGAAGTTGAGTTTATGGTCGTGTCTATGGTTGCATTTGACCATTTGTCCCTCTTTTTTGGTTCCGTAATGAAGTTGAGTCTATGGTGCCTTGGTGGCCACGATATAGCCAGCGCCTATCTTTTGGTCCAATCCCTCCAATGTGCTCAAAGAGAGAAATGTGGTCTCTCCATATTTACAAATGACATGTCTACTGCTAGGGATGGGCGGATGGCAACAAAACCCGAACCCATGGATACCCACCCGACCTAACCCGGTCAACGTGGGTAAAATCCGTGTTGACGGGTTTTGGGCTGGTTTGGGTTTAAACCCGTTCACTATTCATCGGGTTGGGTTGGGTTTGGGTTTAGGTAAACCCGACCCATGGGTACCCGCCCACACCCATATAATTAATTTTCTCCGCATATTTAATATTCTAAACAACTAATCTTATTTATGTTTGTGGAGACAAGTCTAATTTTTTCTTTTGAGTTATGTAGAATGAAGTTGATGTTATTGAGTGGAGAGTGAAAAACTTAATTGAAAGGAAGAAGCTTTCGATTAATCATGTTATTTATGGATAATTTGTGATTTGTTTCAATTTTCTTGAGTTTTCTAAATTGGTGTTGAACAATTTGTGTAGTTAATTTGTGATTCGCTTGAATTTTCTAGAATGGTGTTTTATATATGGATAATTTGTATTGAGAGATTGATATTTGACTTTAATTTTGATAGGAATTTGTTATTGTAAATATTTTACGACAAAAACCCGTGGGTACCCATGAACCCGCGGATACTGTCACGGCCTTACTCTTCCTAGGAGCATCTCTATGCTACTAGTCTTCCATACACGCCACATGTGCAGCCGCCATGTTGTCACCTTGTTGGCGCCATGTCATCTGCCACATGTGACAATACCCAGCTGGTTGGGTTGGGTTTGAGTTTTTCAAACCCAGTGGGTTTTACCCCCGGGTTTTTTTCACAGATAAACCCATGGATTTGGGTTTGGGTTTGACAAAACCCGACCCAACCCGACCCATTGCCATCCCTATCTACTGCGACTAATAAGTTTCAAATGTCACCTCTAAGTTCATTTCCCCTAAAGCCTTACAACAATTTAGTTTTAGGAGTGACTAAAACGAACACATCCATGTTCCTTTTCTTTTTCGTTGCATTGAAGCTACCACTACAGTTGCATTACAGGGTGAGCCGAGCCTGATTAGAATTTGGAAATGCTTAATTTCAGCTCGATTCATTAGCAGTTTTGATCCCAACTAATTATATACGCTAGCGAGAATTCAAGCACATTTCTTGTATATTTCAATAAATTAAATTAAACTGAAGCTCAACTCAACCGCACAAGTACTTTGCGAAAATAATGTATGGGTAAATTAAATTAGGATAACCGAACGGGTAATGGCTCTTTCTCTTTTTGTATATATGATCTCCAACTGAAATCTCTTATTATTGTCGGCCCATTCCCAACTCAAACCTTGTACTTAGTATATAAACCTTTTCCTAGCGTGCGGGTATAGCAGTCGGCCGACCGCAAGTGTTAGAAACCGAACAGAAAATTTGGGGTTATTGAATCTGGCTGAGTCGCAGACTAGATCGCTCTTTTTAAGACGTTTGCGGCACTGCTTCGTATTGCCCACAACAGACAATCAGCCGGTCGCCTTCAGGATAAAACAACCATTCTGATTTGTTACTCGTCGGTTTTGTGCGAAAACCGGAGCTCTATGAACTCTCTCTCTCTCTCTCTTGTTTATGCTCTCTCTACTTTTCTTTATGGTTAGGTAACTCATCTATTTATATAGGATGAGACCTTCAGCCTTCCCCTCTTGGCGGAGGATTTGAGAATCTTCTTAAGGTGTGAAATCAAGAGTAATAACTCCTGATTAGACCTTTCTTTAATGCAGACAATTAACCCGATTGATAAAAGTTTCATTTGATATCAGAAATCAATCCGATTGATTGGAAATTTCCGTTAGTATGGGCAATTGATCTGATCATGAAAGATTTCTTCAATATGGAAAATCAATCCAATTGATTGAACTTTCCGTTAATTCGGTCAATTAATTCTGATTGAAGAAACGTTTCCTTCAATATGGAGAATTAATCTGAATTAACTTCACTTACTTTTTTCAAGGACTTCCCTTTAGTTTTTTTTTTCTTTCAAACTATTCACATTTCTCAACAGCAAGAGCCCGACGTATGTATAACCGCCGGCTTTAATGGAGATCGATCGAATCCGACGGAACTAATTAATTAAGTAGTAGGACAGTAGTAGTAGGTATTCTGGAAACAAAGGGCAGGTGAGTTCCCCGCCCAAGGTAGGATTAACCGGCAATCATTATCACCCGAACAGACCATGGATAGTCGTCATCATAATCTGTGCCTATGACTGCCGCCACTGGGATTCCGCCGTCGATCTCATCATTATCACGGTTTGGACTAATATTCTTATGAGGCGCCTTGGCAGGAGGAGCTGCATCATCCTTCTTCGCCGAGTAGATTTCCATTCTCGACTCGCTTAGAGGTGGCAGTACTTACAGGATATTAGAAGAAGCAAGGAAAGTGGCTAAGATCAGGTGACTAAGCCAATCTTAACTATTGAACCTCATTAAAATATAATGGTTCAAATCTATCTAGTTTAATGAAGGGTAATGCAGTAATTACATAATTAATTTAATTAACAATTAAAAAAATATAACGCTAATCTCCCCGTCCGCGTGGCCGTTTCGTTTTCTGGGAATTCTCCCGGCGGCAGGATTTTTGTGTCCCCAACCCGCGCCGCCGTTCCCAGGGGGAATTCTTCTGCCGGTGGGATTTAATTTCCCCAAACAAGCTTTTGTCCCCTCTAACAACTACGGAGAAAGAGGGAGAGAGATATATATTTTTTGCTGGCCGGAGGAAACTTTCCCGTTACCACCGACGGCGGATAGGATTTTTCGGCGATAATGTGATATTTGTGATGTTTGTTGACCTATTTTGTAATGTTTGTATCGATTCGGTTTGTATTGTTTATCATGTTTTTAGTGACATTTTGTACGATTAATATGTTTTGTACTGTTTGTCGGTTTATTGTGTAATGTTTGTAAGTTTTGTTATTTTTGTGCACAATTTTTATCATTTTTGTCAACCATGTTGTAATGTTTTTTATGTCTAAAAAACAACCTGGTCCTCTATTTAGGGATGAAGTCTCCAAAGTCAATCCGGGTGTTTTTCCAGTTTGTATGTTTTGTTGGTCTAGTTTGTCATTTTTGTCCAGTGTCCACCATTTTCGTAATGCTTGTATGTCTAAAAAACAATCGGGTTGACTTTGGGAGGGAGCCCCTCTATATAGGGATGGAGCCTCCAAAGTCAACCCGTTTTTTCTTTTTGTATGGTTTGTATTGTTTCTACAGTCCATATGTTTATAATGTTTGTAAATCTGTTTGTATGTTTTGTTGTTCTAGTTTGTATTGTTTGTATGTCCGGTTTGTATACTTCGTAATTTTTCATAATACCCAAATTACCCCCTCCCACTAATTAAAAATCGCTTCCTACTTTTTAACCGTTGGACTGAAGTGTCCAGATCTAATGGCTAGGAGGGGCTTAGTCAAGTGACTAAGGACCCCCTAGTCATGGGATCCGCACTCCAAGGAAAGCAAGAGAGACAAGGGCGTCGACATGGTTGGCCGTTAGCTGTTGATGTTATGTTTAGGTTTTCGTTTATCGAATGTAGTTGGATTATGGATAGTTGGATGGTGAGCTTGTCTATATATAGTATCTGGAGGAGGTAGAGGTGGGTATTGAACTATTGGTTGACTCAGTTCAGAACTGGATCAAACCGAATCAAAAGCAACGGGAAAATCAGGATTGGAATAGAACCAAAAGTATGTTTGGTTCATTTTGTTCAATTTTGTTCGGTCCAAATTCACTTTCAGTTCATAGTTTCTTCATATTTAAAATAATTCATAAGATCAAAACCGAATAAAAATATATTCAATGTGATCCTATTTGGCTGGTTGCTCACCCTAGCAGGAGGTGGGGAATTCGTGTCAAGAATTAGTTGATCTCATGGTCCCATTTGTGAGAATACCAATTGTTCCACAGATGAGGGTTGTCGGGATTGGACCGCATGACGTTTTGATCATAAAAGACTTTCATACAATGCCAAGAATCATTTAATTTCAATAACTCAAATTGTTAATTGAGGTTCAATAATAAATCATATACCACTCACTAACATCACTTCCATAAGAATGCTCGATAATGCAATTCCGGCTTTAGCGCTTCTGTTCCATCCCATCTATACTGTCCGACCGTGGACCAGAAGAGAACCCATTTGTTACGTACGTTGGGAATTCTGGTACGCAAACCGGCAGGAATATTCACGGCCGGCCGGCCGGCCACCAAATTCTCCGGCATCGCACATCTTGTATTGCTCATCTCCGGGCGAATGATCTTTGTATTTCTCATCGCTAACAGTGAACATAAACGGTCTAATTTAAGTGGAGGACAAAGAATGTCTGTAATGAATGACAATCTTTTGAACTAATCATACTTTAATTTTTGAGAAGGGTGTAGACAAGAGAGGTAGCATCTCGCGGTTCTTTTTGAGTTCTTTCAAAAGAAAATTATAATTAATAATGAGTCGATTCATTGGGTATTTAGATCGAATTGTTATGACTCACATGAGTATTGTGTTGGACCCAGATGATAGATCACTTCACTTCACTTGTAAGTTTTTGAACTTGTCACCAAATGGTAGATCACATGAATTCGAATACTCCATACCCGCTATTATTTTATTAGAGCAGTTAGTATAGTGCTAGCCCTTATAAAATCAGTACTCTAACTTTGCTTAAAATCGAAAGATAATAAGTAAATAACAGGAAAAGAGCTACAACTATCGTCGGGGCTCGCGAAAGTTATGTTGAAACTCATATGAGCATCACCAAAATTTTGTATAAACTAAGTTGAAACAATATATTGACTTAACAGACACTTGAATGTAGCCTAGCGGATGGGACATGGGAAGGTTGTCCATTTCCTACAGATCAGGTGTTTGATTCTTGTTCTTCAACTAACAAAATTTAAGAATACTAGGATCTATAAAGTATAATTTGTTTTTAAAAATACTGATAGAACAAATACTCATTTTTCTATTATGAAATATAAGGTTGGTTGCACAACACTGAAATACGTTATTAATTAATGTTGGTGATAGGGTGCGAATACAAGCGCACCTACATCACCTGCAAACACCAGTGTGCGAAGAAAGAGCACCTTTCGCACACGAAGAGACTACCAACCACGCGATTAAGGCATAAGGCGTCTGGAAGAGTTACCCGCGGAACAAGACTATCAGAACAACATCGTGGCACTCTGACATATAGTCACTTCACAAGAATGACCTTGGTCAGAGCCTGTGCTCCAGTCTTGTCTAAATGTCACATCGCATTTAAAGCGCACCCACCAGAATGAAGGCTATAAACAAAGCATATACTCAGCTGGGTGAGGATCGATTTTTTGAGCAATTCTCACTAGCTATTAACTTTCTCTCTCTAAACTTTCTCTTTGAATACAGTTGTAAGAAAGGATCTGGTCATTAAGCGGAAGACATTGCTATATATAATCACTTGCTACATATTTCTCTGTCTCACTCGTACACTTAGTTAGGCACAAACAATTGGCGTTGGCTGTGGGGTCGCGAGCGAAAAGTGATACGCAACGATAACCGGATAATCTTTCAACGCCACTCCCATTCCAGACGTAATAACTCCGCTCAAAGCAATGACGAGCCAAAGACTCTTCAATGAAATCAACGATCCGTACACAGTATTGATTGAGGAGGAAGTGCCTGAACTCATGCCCAAGGAAGTGCGTGCTCAGACGACCCATGAAAATAGGGTAATCGCGAGATATGCAGGAGAAAATGAACTAGGTCGTAGCGCTAATGATGAACAAAGGAGCTTCCGCGGCGGCACAACCCGCACCAACCGCCAGTCAAGCTACACTGGGGTCGTAAGAGCCACAACTCACGCAGACACCAAGAGCGGATCTCGACTTTCTGGAACAACACCTCTCGCCGCACTACAGGGCACCGCCTAAGTGGGTTCTCCACCAACCCCTTTGCGCGAAAATTATGGAGGCTGATATTAAACCTACCATGTTAGAAATATTTAGTTTAGATATAAATTGAATTGAATTTAATCATACCATAATATTAATTTTATTTATTTATTTTGATTAATGTTAATACTTTTTTATAATATAACATATTAAGAAACTTCAACCTCTAACGCCTAATTCGGGCTCCGCTCCTGGTAGACAACATACTGCAGCGGATTCGATGTTTACTTTCTACCAAAACAATTAATTATCATAAAAAACAATTACTTATAATTAAAAGAAGTTTCCATAAATTGTGATGTATATAATGGGCTCCGTTAATTAGGTCATGTTTATGTTCCACAGTCATAGACATAACGTTTCTTTTCGTAGATTAATGAGAGGCTGCTCTATTAATCGATTGGGGGTGGTGGGGGTGTGTATAGAGAGATGTTCATCACTATCATGTTTTAAATGTTTCGTGTAGTGTACAACTATTTTTTAACGTCACTAAATTGTGTTTTGTCGTTTTTTTATCGAGAATCATATGTGTAACATCCCATTTCGGCAAAACTCATATTTCGATCGCTAGAAATTTCACGATTTAAATCGAGTATTTTGGTAGTATTAGTAATTCAACGAAAATTGGAATATCGATCGATCGGGTAAGTACACATTACAATATATAATTATAATAACATATATATTGAGTAATTATATATGTTATTCTTTTTTCACATGTTTTGGTGTCGCCTGGAGAGGGAAACTAAATAAAAGAAAAGAGTAAAGTGATCAGGGATGAGATAGCATGCCTATCCTTAAAAGGATTGGAAAAATGACACCCCTATAAATTATAGGTTTTAAGGTAATTAATTTGTGTTGCATTTAATAACATGTATGAATTAAAAACACATATTAATAACTTTCCTTTTTCCAGTGCACTGGTAGTTGTATTAGTGCAATGATATTCGTGTACATGTGCAATGGTAGATGTATCAATGCAATGGTAGTTCCAAAAAAGGAACGTAATTAATATGAGTTCAGTATACAGGTGCAATGGTAGTTAAAAAAATAGAATTTAATTAAGATGAGTTTTTAATTTCCAAAGATTATTAAATGCAACACGAATTTAATACAAAAAATAATTATAATTAATAGGGGTATAATTTTTCCAACCTCTTAGAAGGGTTAGCATGCTAACCGTTCCCAAGTGATCAGGTGAATTAGTGGTACGAGAGGCTTAAACCAATGTTTGAACGACTATAACTGGTGAGGGATTAGCACGGCATACCAGGTTTGTCGTATAACGATAATTATATATTGATGCGTAGAATTGACCTAGGTGAACTAGAATGACATGATTAGGGGTGTATGGACTTTTCTGCTATATGATGAACCATGGATTGTTGTGTGATATTATTGACTTGCCCTAATCGATATGGACCTTGTTTATGTTGATGATTGCATACATGTTGCCAGATGTGGGTTTAATTGTGGATATGCCTTATGATAGTTTAAGAAGGTGATTGGGTATGATTTTTCATGATTATTGTATTTGGATGCACAAGTGGGAAAATATATATCCCATGGTGATATTATGATATTTAAGGAGGATGACTTGCACGAGGGTTTATCCCGAGGAAGTGCAATTATACGACTCCTGTTTATGTTGAGCCAATTGTGGCCAGGTCAAGAACATGTCCAAGTAATTGATTATGATTAAGCAAGATGAGATATGGATCATGTATAAGGATACCAAATAAGAGTGATTTGGTCTCATGGTCAATTACATAGTAATTAGGGCTCCCCATGCTATTACTCCGTTATGATATGTTATGTCACACACCTGATGTGGTGTTGACCATTGATTCATCATGAGATATGACCACACCCAGAGTGGTGTTGAGTCCCATATGACCACACCCAGAGTGGTGTCAGGTCCGATATGACTACACCGGCAGTGGTGGGTCTAATATGACCACATCCACGAGATGTTTGGTCCGTATTCCCGGGAGAGTAATTAGCATGGGAGTAGCCAGGAACCTATGATTAAAACATGATAAGATGCATATGCATAAGTCAAGGTGGTTGAGTCTTTTGCCTATTGGGATGTCCGATGGCTGAGGTCAGATCCTAGTGCTTTGCATTGTTTGCTAGATGTATGGTAGGGGTATGCTCTGTTATGAACTCACGATGATATGATTATCTCACTCAGCTATGAGCTGACCATCTTTTATCCTTTTCCTCTGCTTATGCTATGTGTAAGCAGATCATTAGCCGTAGCAGTAGCAAGTACATAGGTGTGAGCAGAACGAGGAGTTGAAGGCAGAATAAGGTATTGTCTTCAACTATTCCGTGCTTGGACGACTACTTTGGATTTTAATTTGGCCAGTGATCCACACCTCTTTTGTAAAAATGTTTTTGAGAATCTTTTTTCATGTGCATACTAGGTTTTGATGTAGTATTACATATCCACAGGTCTACGAATACAGGGATTCAGATAAATTATTTTGCAGGTCTAGTTGCAAGAACTGTTAGGCCATTGCGGGAGTAATTCATGTCTAAATTTTATTGGTTGATTTTTGGTAATTAATGTAACACCAATTTTAAATTCCGCCGCAATTGTGTGAACAATATGATCAGACAAAATGTACAGGGTAGGGTGTTACAATATGTATAGAATTAAAGCTTATTTTAAAGCTTGATCAAGCTGATCAAGCCCTGATAATTTTGTTTGAGGTTATCTTGATTATGATTTGGAAATGCTTAGCCTCAGCTCGACTCGTTAGCCGTTTTGATCCGAACTAATTATAAGCCATAGCAAGAATTCAAACTCATTATTTTTTTCCTTTTATTATATTATATTTTGATAAGATGTGTAAATCAAAGCTAAGAGAAGCTCAGCTCAACTCAACTCAACCGCAAGTAGTTTAAGAAAATATTGCATGAGGAAATTAAAGGATAATAATTGAAAGAGTGTAATGGCCCGTGCTCCTTGTCTTTCTTTGTCGTATATATGTCTTCAACTGAAATCTCTTATTGTCGGACCATTCGCCAACTCAAACCTTGTACGTACAACTGCCGGCTTCAATGGAGATCGATCGAATCCGCCGGCCGGACACTAATTAGGTAGGAGCAGGACAGTAGCAATAGTTTTTCAGTGAACAACGGGCCGGTGTGCAAGTTAGGAATAACTTGCAATCATTATCACTGTAACAGAGTGGATACTCATTATAATCTGTGCCCATGACTGCCGCCACTGGGATTCCGCGGGGGACGGCGTCGTTTGGACCATTATGATTATTATGAGGAGCCTCCGGGTCCGAAGCCTTGGCCGAGTAGGGTTCCATCCTCGACTCGCTCAGCTGCTGCCACCACACACCTGCAACCGCTCGGGCGGTGGAGTTAGGTTGAAACCAGAACCTCAACAACTTTGAAATACAGGCAGTGTAAATTTTGAACAAATTTAGAAACTAAAATAATCGAGAATAAGGCTTTAATTAGCATCCCTCTCTCTCAATTACAAAAAAGGTTCAAATAAGTCCACCTCGCGGGCGCGTTCAGATTTCTGGCTCCGTTACCGGGTCAGTTAATGCCCTAATGGGAAACATGCATGTAGCCAGTATACTTACAGGAAATTAGAAGAAGCAAGGAAAGCAAGAGGGACAAGGGCGCCGTCGACATGGCCATGATCAGCTGTAATTGGACTTTTGGTTGTTGATGTTCTGTTTAGGGTTTCCTTTATCGAATGAATTGAAGTTGGATTATGGATAGTTTGGATACTGATGATCTTGTCTATATATAGTATCAGGAAGTGCCGAAGTGGTGTATCTCTTCCATACTTGGGTTTATCGTTTCTGTTCCATCCCATCTTTACTCTCCGGCAGTGGACCAAAATACGTAAACCGCGGTAGGATATTCCCTGCCGGCCTGCAGCCACCAAATTCGCCGGCATCGCACATCCTGTATATATTGCTCATCTCATCTCCGGGCGAATGATCTTTGTACGAACAGAAAACTGTCTAATTTAAGTCGAGGACAAAGGAAGTTTGTAATTGATGATGACAATCTTTTGAATTAATCATACTTTAATTTTTGAGAAAGGATGTAGATAAGAGAGGCAGCATCTAAATGATCGACAACAATAAAAGTTACATACCGTTGCTGAAATAGCACTACTTAATTGCCGGTGAAATCTTCGGCTGATTTCAGAAAGTGTGAGGAGTTGAATATGTATTACGGCACCTTTCCACTTCTCCGGCTGAGTTTTTATTTTATTTCTAAAAGTGTGAGGAGTTGAATATGTATTATAAGTTGTGAAAAATTCAGTTGCTAAATCCGTATTAAAATAAAATACAACTAGTAATATAAATGTAAAATCCACGACAAATAATTAAAAATGTTCGCGACAAATAGTATGTCGTAAATGTATTGATAGGCTCATAATTATCTAAATTTCGAGGAATTCCGTGATTTTGAGATTAAATATATTGCAGGCTCATAATCCCTACTTCTACTAACTATATGTCGCCTTATTACTAACATGCTATCATGCCGATTTCTCGATAGAAAACTTTGGATAAGTTACTCGACGTTCTCGAAAAGGGGATCTCGTTGATGGCGACAACTACTCCAAATTGTCATGAAACGACTAAATTAATAACAAAGCAAGAAACATAAATTGGATTGCAATCTTCAAAGATATTAACTAATGAGCAAGCACATATTAATAGAGATAGAAATCCCAAAAATCCTTCTTCTTCCCTCCCTGGTTGGACAACTCTTTTCCCTTTCGTACACAAAATAACCCTCCTCCTACAAAAAACTAGCATATATTCATAAACAAATACTAAAAATCAATCCAAATCCTACCTAGAACAATTAAACCAATAAACACAAACTAATTAATAAAATGAAAAAAAACAAGGTCGGAATTTATGGCTCGATTCTCGTAACACATGCACCAACGACGACACAATGTGATAATGGAAGATTGAGGAGCCCTTCTATTGTGCTCTATAGCACCCATGCTATAAAAAAAAAAAGGTGACCTGTTGAGGTGGTAAAAAAGGGACATTTTTTTAAATTTAACGGTTCATCT